TTAAATGAGCAAAATTGATAGGGAGCATTAGATATTGATTTATTAATAAGTGCGCTATGTGTTGGCCCGATAGGAACCCATCATGCATGATTACGTATTTGTGCTAATTGTAGACTGCAAGTTGTAGACAATCTTTATTGTCTAATAATTTTGATTTTTTATAGTTAAAATTGATAAATTTTGACCATTAAATAAATAAAATTGATATATATTACATATTGATATAAAAATAAATTTATTAGATTCATGGTGTAAAATATTTTCAAAATATTATTTTATTTAATTAACTACCATATATTTTTATTAAACAATACTTCCTCCGTCCCAAAATAAGGCTAATGTTTGGTTAACGATGTTTGAATGAAGTTATCTTCAAATAAAAATTAGTAAAAAGTGGTGTAGAATTATCAAATAAAAAATTACATATTTCAAAACTACATTAAAAGTTCTACAAAAAATGGTGATAAAGTTATTTTATTTTATCAAATGATCGATTAAAATATATAAAGAAAGTAGGTGTTTGTAATTTCAATTACACCTAATTTTAGAAAAAAAATGTGTAATTTCATATAGGTGTTTAATTTGTAGTATACATATTTCTAGTTTCGAAAAACACCAAGTTACATGTCTAATTCACAAAAACAGACTCAATTACACCTAATTTGAGATAAAATAGCAATTGAAAGTAAAAATATAAAGTTTAATTACAAATTTAAAGAAAAAACCTTGAAATTTGGGTTGAGAAGACTTGTGTCAACGGTGGCGTGTAGCAGTTTGAGGTTTGGGATGACGTCTGGAGTCACTGCAGCAGCGAGCCTAAGAAGACGGAGTGTGGAGACGATGGGTCGGTCGTAGCGATGGCGTTAACGAATCACCGTGCATCTGTGGAGTGTGGACTGAGTTGTTTGAAATCAAAACTAAAGACTCAACTATCTCACATAAAATAAAATATTCTTGTCGCATACTACTCATTACTGTAAAATTTGGACATAGTTTTTAAATATGTAATTTTTTTAATTTCTGTATCTATCTTTTTGAATACAAGAGGATACTTATTTAATTTTACATGCAACATAACTGATAAGTCGTTTTTGGGTTAGTTCTTTTTATTCTTTTTTTTAAGGAATTTTTAATATTATTTGAGTTTAATTTTTGGTCTTTTAGCTTAGTTTTATTTTAATTCTAATTTTTACAATATTTTATTTTTCTTTCATAAATAGTAGTGTTTTAATCATTTTTTTACATACTATTATTTTTATTTTATTTTATGGAGAAAAGTATAGGAAAAGGCCAAAACTATGTTTGAGTCTAAAAAGAGATACGGAGTAGTAATTAGCCGAAGCCCAAACCCAAAGCAGCAGCCCATATTTAGTAAAATGACCTATAAATAGACAGCTTTTATGAAATTTACTCATGAAAAAATGGGGGAAAATTTTTCTTCCTACCAAATAATAAAAAATATGATGAGAATATAATTTTCATTGATAATCGTTTTGTCACAAAGAATACTTTTCAACAAAAAAATTTCTGCCCAAAAAAACGGGCCCTTGATTTAAAACATAGGCAATCTACTTATTTAAACAAGGAAAATGCTAGGGGTACACCACAAGTGTACCCCAAACATCCCCCACCCCCTCCATCACCACACAAAAAAGGCAAGAAAAACTCAAAAAAAAAGTAAAAATAAAAACAAAATAAAATGAATGGTAAAGAGATGGGGTGGTGTACATTTGGGTACACCTTTGGTGTACCCCTAGCATATCCCTTTAAACAAATGCGCAAAATTAAAAAGAGTAATTTACCTAAATAACACTAAAACATAATGACTTCAGACATTCAATAACAGTGAAAGTATAATACAAAAACTTTGTTGCATAACAAAAATTATATCTTAAGGATGAGAACTTATCATAAAGTGTACTCTCAATAATCTATTTACAACTACACTTAGGGGTGTTTGTTTTTTCTGCAGGAAAAGGTCTGCAGTCTGCGGATCACTACTGTAGACATCTGCAGGAGAAGTGGTGGACCGAAGGTCTGCGGTCTGCAAGAAGAAGACTGTTTGTTTTTTAATGTCTGTAGACTGCTATATAAATTAATGGTAGTAGTGTACGGTGGTGGTGTATGGACGATTGTGGTGGTGGTGAAGGGTGGTGGTGGACATTGACGGCAGTGGTGGTGGACGGTGGCGGTGGATGATGATGATGATGGACGGTGACAGTGATGGTGGACGGTGGTGAACGGTGGTAGTGGTGGACAGTGGCAGCGGCGGTGGACGACGTGGTGATGGACGGTGACGATGATGGTGGACGGTGGTAGTGGTGGTGGACGACGGTGGCGGTGATGGTGGACGGTGGTGATAGTGGTGGACGGTGGTGGTGGTGAAGAGAAGTAGAAGAAAAAATGGAGAAGATGTTAGAAGACATAGGTTAATGTCTTCTCTAAGAAGATGCCAGGAAGACCTTTTTGAGTGAAATGTCTTCCAAAAAACAAACAATCTGCAGAGCTCAGCATCTGCGCTTGTCTGCGCGGCGCAGACAAAAGAGGCCAGAAGCTCTTCTGGCCAAAAAACAAACACCCCCTTACGGTAAATGCATAAAGAACCCACCATTAGGGACATAGATCCCACCAACTTTGACATAATAGTGACAATATGTTAACCCAACCCGCGTAACCTGCATAAATGGATTAGCAAAACGGATTGCCACTAAATAAGTATCCACATGCCAAATAATTTAAAACACTTAAGAAAGATTTTAGTTAAAAATCCAACATTTCAAACACTTTAGTTATTTGTAAGAGTTTTCAATATTTGCGAAAGTGTAATAAAAATTAGTGGTGAGCAAAAGGCTAAATAGCTCCAATCCCTCCTCTGATTTGGAAAATAAGAAAACCCCTTAAATAGAAGTAAAACATGTATCATATCATCAAAATAAGAGTTCAAACTTAAACTCTTCTAAATAAGAGTAACTAATTAAATATGTGTTTTGATTAGTCCCACTGGCCGCACAAATTAAGTTGGGTGACAGTTTGTGTCTAAAAATTTTATATATCATATTGTAAGGTTGGACTCCCAATAATCATTAAACAAAACTAATGGCAAATAGTAGAGTTTCTTGGCATTTACCCACTTTTGACATTATGCATTAACATCTGTGATATATAACATTATACATTGACATAGCTTTCATTATGCATTACGAGGGATAGCATTATACAATGTCAAGATTGGCATTATCTATTTAATTAGTTTAGCATTATGTATTCGCATGTATGACTTTATACATTGGCATGATTGTCATTATATGATTACATGTGACATTTATCATGATCTTTTTGACAATGTATGGACATTTTAATATAACAATTTACTAAGTTTTTAAATGTAAGGTATTGATTCATTTTTGTTGATGATGTTTTGGGTGTGTTTTGTTATTTAATTAGTTTTGTTTACATTCAAATTTGTTATTTTTTTGTCGAATCAGTTTTGTTAATGATTCAATAACAATTTACTCTACTTGGTAAACCAAGGGCAATGCCCACATGGTCATGCGCTCGAGCTTCTAGTTACAACATTATGTTATCATGGAAGAATTGAGGAGACACTGGAGTGTTCTAAGCAAATGATGAGATGTTTAAATAAATTAAATTACATTTTTGACATTGCTGAATTTTTTTTAATTTCTAGAGTTGTCAGAGGTTGAGACTTAGAGGCTTGGAAAGTATGAGTGTCTAAACGAGTATGAAAATTTATAATTTTTAAAAAATAATTAAATAAAGAGGAAATTGCATGGATGAGGGGCATGGGAGGTCCTAACTGGAAACAAAGGATTTGAAAATTCATGCATGGTGAGATAGAAACATGTACCTATAAGGAGTTTAGATTGGGATTTAGTTTTAAGTGTTAAAAAATTATGTCATTGTTAAGTTATTTACTCTTATTTAGGAGAGTTTAAATTTCAACTCCAATTTTGAGATATGACATCTCTTTTAATCTTATTTTGGTCCATCTCCCTTGGAAAATTGGAATCAATACCTCCTTTTTTTGAAACTTATTTGTAAAGGCTTTGTGGTTTCAAAACGTTGCACCGACACCCCAATCCAATCATTTTCCAGTTATTTTATGATGAAGAGAGGCATTGTTGCCTATTTTCTAAACCATATGAAGCACACATGTTCATTTCTTATTTTTCGTATATTACTTTGTTTTTTTCCTTTTTTTAGTTTTTTTTATCTCTTTGTTTTCCTTTCCTAGAAAATTTTTTAAAATTTTTTTGAAATTTTTTAAAAATTCAAAATTCTGTGTTTGAAATAAAAATAAAAAATTATACTAGCTCCATCTATCCCACTCACATGGATGAATAGTGTGTGAATAGTGTAGGAGTGAGAGGGTAAAAGAGTCAATTCCTTGTAAAGTTATTAACTTTGTAATTCTTTTTGGGACAAAAATGTGAGGGAATATTGTAATCTATTTTGGGACGAAGGGAGTAAAAGATATCAAGAGCCTAAAATAATAACCGGAAAATTTTGTGAATGGATGAAGTAATATTATTTTTTAATTAAATATTAAAGCAAAGCATCATATATATTACTACGTTACTATAAAAAAAGAAAAAAAACATCAAAAATTGTGGTGTGCATCCGTCCTTTAATTTCCCACACCGTCCATTACAACACTTCGATATATTCTTCTTAAACGGCTCCCACAAAGACACCACACGCAATCATGCCAAACTCAATAAGGTAAAAGCCCTAATGGTTGTGATCCTGATGACAAGGGTATGAAGTTATTTGTTCAATCGGTCACCATTATTGAGAATTATTTGTCTTTCTTTTTTTAATATTCTCTTTTTTGAATATATATATATCGGCCCGGTTCTAGTGACACCGGAAAACGGTGCCACTACGGTGCTACTGGGTTTTTGGGGCACTTCTGGTGCTCCGTTCGTAAAATTGACGGTTTGACTTTCCTTTTCTACCACTGCAACTTTCCATCTTTCAACCCACAGGTATCCTATCCCTGACTGCCAACACCACCTCCGGCGATTCTCCACCACCGCCGCCGCCAACTCTCTGGGACCTCTCTGGTTCTTCTCTCCGCCATCACCATAATTGGGAATTATTTGTCTTTCTTTTTTTAATATTCTCTTTTTTGAATATATATATATATCGGCCCGGTTCTAGTGACACCGGAAAACGGTGCCACTCCGGTGCTACTAGGTTTTTGGGGCACTTCCGGTGCTCCGTTCGTAAAATTGACGGTTTGACTTTCCTTTTTTACCACTGCAACTTTCCATCTTTCAACCCACAGGTATCCTATCCCTGACTGCCAACACCACCTCCGGCGATTCTCCACCACCGCCGCCGCCAACTCTCTGGGACCTCTCTGGTTCTTCTCTCCGCCATCCCTTCCGTAACCCCCTCTATCGTAGATCTAATATGTTTAGTATCTTCAACAACCATAAAAGATAAATCTCTTCCATCCGAGGTTTTGACGGCTTGAGGGAAGGCTAGAAGTAACAGAGGCTTTGTATATCTATAAAATTGATGGCAGCCGTGTCGGAAGAAGAGTAGATTTGACCGCCGCGCACCTCCTATGATAGGTTCGTGGAACCCACAGTTGAAGAACTTAGAGTGTCTTCCTACTCCTCAGTGCGTGTTCAAGCCCAAGAAGAGAAGGAGAGCAAGAGACTAGAGTGAGAGAGAGACCAAAAACGGTAGAGAGGGGAAGGAAAAGAAGAGCCTCAACGGCAAGGGAAGAGGAGAGGAAATTGGGGAGTTAATTGAGCTTATTATTGATAATGATAATTATCTCTATTTATAGGAGAGATACCTCAACCTAATTACTACGTTATCTAACCTGACGGTTCAAGAAAAAGCGACGAGGTAAAGAACCGTAAAGAAACCCTCGAAGGAGCTTATAATTCGCTCACCTAATAAAATCTAAATACAATAAAATAATATAAAGAACAATCTAATTAAGTTCAAACTCTTGCTGCCAAGCCGGTGCACGCCGAACTCGCGTACTCTGACGCCTTCCTTCATTAGTCGCCCCGCATGGCTCAGTGTTGTGACACTGGTCCGTAACACTCCCCCGCCCTTCAAGAACCACCTTGTCCTCAAGGTGTAACTGTGGAAAATGTTGGCGGATACTTGAAGCGGGTTCCCACGTGGCGTCATCAAGCGTGCCATCGCTCCAACTCACTAAATATTGCTCCTCAGGCGACCCATTCCGAAGGACCGCCCGCACAACATGGATCGCTACCGGCGTAGAGGAAGGTTTGCCATCCACAAAGATATCCGGAAGGGGCAACGGCCTATCGCGTAGCATGGCGCCTCGAAACGGACGTAAAACTGAAACATGAAATACCGGATGAATTTGCGCCCCGTCGGGTAATTTCAAACGATAAGCCATCGGGCCTATTCTCTCCAAAACCTCATAAGGCCCATAATATTTTAAGGCCAACTTCTGAGACGAACGCCGAACCACCGAGTGTTGCCGATAAGGTTGAAGACGCAACAAAAAAAAATCCCCAACCCGAAATTCCAAATCCCGGCGTTTGGCATCCGCCAACTGCTTCATCCGGTGTTGGGCTTGCAGAAGGCATCAGCGCAATTCCCGCAAGAGGATATCACGCTCAGCGAGGACATCGTCCACGGCCGGTACACGACTGGATCCTGGCCGATAGGGAACCAAATCAGGGGGTGGACGTCCATAAAGTGCCTGGAATGGTGTCATGCGTAGCGCCGAATGATAACTCGTATTCATAGAGTACTCAGCCCAAGGTAAAAGAACTGTCCAACGCTTTGGCCGCGCATGCGTGAAAGACCGGAGATACTGCTCGAGCGTACGGTTCATGACCTCTGTCTGGCCATCGGTTTGCGGATGGAACGCAGTACTATGCTTCAAAGTGGTACCGCTAAGATGATGTAACTCGCGCCAAAAAGTGCTTAGAAAAACCTTATCCCGATCGGAGACAATCATGCGAGGAATGCCATGCAATTTTACCACGATGTCCGTAAATAAGAAGGTCGTCCGATGTGCATCATACGCGGCTGGCAAGGCACCCAAATGCGTGTATTTGGTCAATCTATCAACCACAACCATAACCACCGAAAACCCACGGGACACAGGAAGTCCAGTAACAAAATCCATGCTTATGTCTTCCCACACACGTTGCGGAACAGGAAGCGGTTGAAGGAGACCCGCTGGTGGCAACGTGGATGATTTGGCTTTTTGGCAGATCTCACACTGACCAACATAAGCACGCACATCTTTACGCATCGAAGGCCAATAAAAAGCAGCAGCTAGATGAGAGAAAGTACGATGAACACCCGTATGTCCGGCAATAGGAGAATCATGATACTCCCGTAAAAGTTCCGTACGTAAGGTGGACGCCGCACCCACACACAGTCGGGTTTGATAAAAAAGTACACCATCCACAACCGAGAAGGGGGCTGGAAGGGAGCCCTGCCGATGAAGTTCATGCAGGCGCATGAGGTCAGGCTCAGTATTATTTTCTGCCCGAATGCAAGCGAGAATCTCCGGAACTCGCTGTGAAAAATTAAAAAACTGGGCAGCCCCAATTGATGTAGGATCAGCCGAAGTATTCTGCTGCAAGTGCTGCCGTGATAATGCGTCTGCCACCACATTAGTTCGGACCGGTTTATACTCGATGCGAAAACGATACCCCATGAGTTTGCGGATATAAAACTGTTGATCGGGTGTTTGAATTACTTGCTGCAAAAGTTCTTTTAAACTACGCTGATCCGTCCGTATCAAAAATTCACGCCCCAGAAGATATTGCCTCCATTTTTGAACGGCTTCAACTATGGCATAAAGCTCTTTGTGATATGTAGACGCCGCCAAACGCCGAGGACCCAACTTTTTACTAAAGTAAGCGATGGGTTGCTCCTCTTGGAGAAGGACATCACCAATGCCGGAAGCCGATGCATCGGTATCAACGACAAATAACATAGAAAAATCCGGTAACCGCAGCACCGGGGCTGCCGCCAAGGCTTGCTTGAGGAACTCGAAGGCTTGTGTCGCAGCATCGGACCAATGAAAGGAATCTTTTTTCAGAAGGTCTGTGAGCGGTGCAGAAATGTGGGCATAATTTTGTATAAATCGACGGTAGTAGCCGGTTAGACCCAAGAAACCCCGAAGCTGCTTGATGGTTTTTGGACACGGCCATTCCAACATAGCTTCAATCTTAGCCCTGTCCACGTGAAGACACCCCGCACTAATAACATGCCCCAAACAATTAATGGACGAGGTACAAAAGGAGCATTTGGACGGCTTGAGAAAAAAGTGGTTGGAACACAACAATCCCAAGGCGACCTCAAGGTGGCGACCATGATCCTCCAACGTAAAACTGTATATCAAAATATCATAAAAAAAAACAATGACGAACTTCCGTAAAAACGGGGCAAAAAGCTGGTTCATGCACGCCTGAAAAGTGGAGGGGGCATTCGTGAGACCAAACGGCATTACCCGAAACTCATAATGGCCTTCATGGGTACGAAAAGCCGTTTTATAGATATCACGATCGTACATGCGAATCTGGTGATAACCCGATCGGAGATCAAGCTTGGTAAAGAATCTAGCAGAACCCAACTCATCAAATAATTCGTCCGCGGTCAGAATAGGAAAATGATCGGGCACAGTCACCGCATTCAAGGCTCGATAATCGACACAAAATCGGTACATGCCGTCTTTTTTCTTCACCAGAAGGACCGGAGACGAGAAAGGGCTTCTACTAGGCTGAATCAATCCTTGATCAAGCATTTCTCGGACCAAACGCTCAATTTCAGCTTTTTGAAACTGAGGATAGCGATAAGGCCGAACTGAGACTGGCTTGGACCCAGGTTGGAGAAATATTCGGTGATCGCTCAAGCGGCGTGGTGGCAGGCCTGCCGGCTCCTCAAACGCTGCTGGAAAACGCCGAAGGACAGTCAAGATGTCCGCGGGCAGTCCCTCTGGCCACAGTTCCCGAGCCGTCGGCTCCCCCGCAGATGCCTCAACTAGAAAAAGCTCAAAACATGCCGACACAGAATGGGTTGAGTGCAACATTTGACAATGATGGAAAGAGACTTGTTTCACTTCCGGCGCACCACCCTGCAACGTAACTGGCGATCCATTCCAACAAAAATCCATCGTCAATTTGGCATAATCGTGCGTGACTTTTCCCAATAACCGCAGCCACTGCACTCCCAACACCACGTCGGGACCATGGATAGGGAGGACGAATACATCAACGGAGAAGGAAGCTCCTTGTAAAAGCAACTCAACATCCATACACTGAGTATCACAGAGAAGAGAAGCCCCATTGCCCACATAAACCCGAAAAGCGTCGACCTTGACAACCGGCAAGTGCAATCGCTCCACAATCCGTGGATGTACAAAGTTGTGGGTACTCCCACCATCAATGAGAACATCAACGATGCCCCCCATAATCATACCCGACAAGCGTAAGGACCGGGGAGCCGTGGCACCCTCCATACTATTCAAGGTTGAAACGTCGGCCACGAGCAAGGTTTCGTCCACAGCCCCTGCCGAGGAATCCTCCTCGTCATCCTCTAGCAATAGCAAGAAACGACCACAACGATGACCCTTAGACCACTTCTCATCACAATTATAGCATAGGCCTTTGGCGTCATGTTCCTTTTTTTCAGCATAAGTGAGACGGCGAATCGGTGGACCGGCAGGCGATTTATCATCTGGTTGCTGCGCCCCTGGTAACGGCAACAGCGGCTGCGTGGGGGTCTTATTGAAGGGCCCCGACGTTGGCCGAGGGCGCGTCCCAAGAGATGTAGCCCATGCGGCATGCTTGGACTCCAGTTCCCGAGCGAGGGCAAATGACTTCGATAAAGATGAGGGTTTTAGAAGCATCAGTTCATGTTGCAAGTGAGTTTTTAATCCGGCATGAAAAAGGGACTGTAAATTAGACTCTTCAACCCCCGTCACGTTTACCAAAATCTTCTCAAAGGCTTGTTGATATTCAAGTACGGACCCCGTTTGGCGAACCTTAGATAGTAGGCCGAAATAATCCACATAATTTAAGGGATCAAACCTTAACTTGAAAGCTGTAACAAACTATGTCCAAGATGGTAACAAGTTGTTCCGTTGCCGCCATCAAAACCAGTCCAACGCTTGTCCTTCTAACATCAAGCAAACCGCCGACAAACGGGACTCCTCCGGAACAGAATAAAAAACGAAATATTCATGAACCTTGAATAACCAACCTAAAGGGTCCGTCCCGTCGCATTTTGGCATATCAAGCTTGAGCTTCGTCATGGAATTCCCCGACCCGACAAAGCTGTCAGGCGTTTCCCGGCGCGAGTGAGGTCCCTCGTACGGACGTTTCTCCGTCAACACCACCTTCAAATCTCGTTGAAGCTGCTGCATGGCCTGGTTTAATTGTTGCATGGCGGCCGTATGGGATTGGATTTGGCCGTCAATTTGAGTTTGTAATTCCCGGAAGGCCTCCGCGCTCACCGTGTTGGACGCCATGAGAACTCAATGGAAGCACCAGTGATAAGTTCGTGGAACCCACAGTTGAAGAACTTAGAGTGTCTTCCTACTCCTCAGTGCGTGTTCAAGCCTAAGAAGAGAAGAAGGAGAGCAAGAGGCTAGAGTGAGAGAGAGAGAGAGAGAGACCAAAAACGGTAGAGAGGGGAAGGAAAAGAAGAGCCTCAACGGCAAGGGAAGAGGATAGGAAATTTGGGAGTTAATTGAGCTTATTATTGATAATGATAATTATCTCTATTTATAGGAGAGATACCTCAACCTAATTACTACGTTATCTAACCTGACGGTTCAAGAAAAAGCGACGAGTTAAAGAACTGTAAAGAAACCCTCGAAGGAGCTTATAATTCGCTCACCTAATAAAATCTAAATACAATAAAATAATATAAAGAACAATCTAATTAAGTTCAAACTCTTGCTGCCAAGCCGGTGCACGCCGAACTCGCGTACTCTGACGCCTTCCTTCATTAGTCGCCCCGCATGGCTCAGTGTTGTGACGCTGGTCCGTAACATCCTACCACCGCCTCTCTTTGCTCGCTGCTCCCAATCATTGGGGAAAAGGAATTAAAGAAGAAGAAGAAGGAGAAAGGAAAAGAATGAAGCAGAGAAGAAAAGAAAGAAAGAAGAAGAGAGAAAAAAGAATGAAAAAAAGGAATTGTGGCCTGTGGGAGAATTGAGAAGGGAGAGGAAAAAAGAAAAAAGAGAAGAAGAGAAGAAAGAATGGATAAGATTGAGGGAGAAAGGAAAAAGAAAAGAAGAGAAGAAAGAATGGATAAGATCGAGGGAGAAAGGAAAAAGGAAAGAAAGAGAGTGGAGGGTGGGGTAATTAAGTCTTTTTGCTTGAAAAAAGTTTCCAAAAAAGGAAACGAGAAGTTTATTTGTGGACGGACGAAAAAGGAAAGTGGGAAGTTTATTTATGGACGGAGGAAGTATATTCTAGACAATGCGTTGCACTTATTTGGTTTTGTTTTAAACTTCTTTTATGTTTTTCCTATACTATATATTGATTATTCCAATTCAAAACTTTATGAGGTGATTTATTAAATGAATGAGTATTAATCATTATTTTTATTTGTTGAAGAAATATGATCACAAGCTCCAACAGAGCTCTTATTGGTAATGAAAGTTCAGGAGATAGTGGTAGTACCAACGCAATCCTAAAACAACACGAGATATTTCTCCAAATTATTTCCAATCAAAACACTTATTGGTAATATCTCGGGTATTAGTGACTTAATTCATGGCTCTAGAAGAGCATGCATCATATTACCATTGGGTACCAAATTAATCATAAATGATGCATTATAGTTAAGTAAATCCTGAAGGAATTTACTTAATTTCAATGATATTTGAAAAAGTATTACCACCTCAAAACCACATCTTAAAGTAATAGAGAATACTTACAAATTATTTCCACTAAAGAAATTTTAGAAAAGAAAGAATCTTTATCCTCTAGATTATAATTTACCAATATTAATCTTATTGAGTCATACATGGTAAGTAACCAGAACTTATTTGATAAAGAAACAATTATCATATGGCATGACAAACTAGGTCACCCTGGCAGTACAACAACGAGGCGCATAATAAAAAATGCGAATGGGCATCCACTAAAAATATAAAAATCTTACTGCCACAAGACTTATCATGTGTAGCATGCTTTCTAGGAAAATTGATTACACGGTCCTCCCAAAAAAATTTCTACATGAAAAGCCTTCATTTTTGGAAAGAATCCAAGGGGACATCTGTGGGCCAATACATGCTCCATGTGGACCATTCCGTTATTTCTTAGCGTTAATTGATGCTTCCTCACAATGGTCACGTGTGAGTCTTCTAGTTACTAGAAATGTAGCATTTTCGTGATTTTTAGCCCAAATCACATAATTAAGAGTGCTTTTCCTAGAAGCTTAAATTAAAAATATTTGCATGGATAATGCAAGAGAATTCACATCCCTAGCTTTTGATGATTTTTGCATGTAAAATGGGATAAGTGTCAAACATATAGTAGCTCATGTTCATACAAAAACAGTTTAGTTAAATCATTAATTAAAAGGTTAAAGTTAATTTCTAGACCGTTTCTGATGAGAAGTAAATTTGCATCTTTGGCATGGGGGCATTTTATTTTACACGCTATTGCACTGGTCAGACTAAGACCAACTGCTGATCAGGAATACTCCCCACTACATGGAGAACCAAGTCTGTCCTATTTAAAAATATTTGGTTGCGCAATTTACGTACCAATACCAGCACCACAATGTACCAAAATGGGACCCTAGAGAAGAATCGGAATTTATATTGGTTTTAAATATGTGTCTATAATTATATATTTGGAACCATCGACGAAAGATATGTTTACAGCATAGTATGCTGACTCTTAATTTAGTGAGACAGTATTCCAGTATTAGGGAGAGACAAGAATAAAGAAAGACTGGTAACACAAGAAGTAATATGGAATGCATCATCATCGACCTCCGAAGTGGTCAATGTGATTCTGAAGTCCATATAATCATACATTTGCAGCGAATAGTAAATGAATTACCAGAAGCATTCATAGATACAATAGAGTGATAGAGTCACATATCCTAGCATCTAATGCAGCTTCTTGTATTGAGGTAATCCCAAAAGCGATAACCACACAAAGAAAGCGTGGGAGACCAATCGGTTCCAAAGATAAGAACCCACGAAAATAAAAAGAGCAAAGTAGTGTAGTTGGTGAAACCACATAGAAGATTATGAAACATACCCATGTAGAGGTAAATGTCCCTAAAGAGACTAATACATTTAACATTTTCATAGGAAAATGATATTTCTGAAGAAAAATCGGATTCAAATGAAAATGAGATCTCCATTGATTATGTACAAGATAGTACAATATAGACCCAACATGAAACACATGTTGATGACATTTTTGCATATGCTATAGCAATGAATGTACTAAATGAGAATTATTACATATCTAAAACTCTAAAAGTGTGCATGCACAGGAATGATTGGCTAAAATGGCAAGAGGTCATGAATGTCGAACTTGAATCACTTCAAAAACGAAATGTTTTTGGACCTGTAGTCCGAACACCCATAGATGTCAAAGCAGTGGGTTATAGATGGGTGCTTGCAATAAAAAGAAATAAAAAGAATGAGATTATGCGATATAAGGCACGACTGGTAGCACAAGGGTTTTCGCAAATCCCATGAGTTGATTATGAGGAAACGTACTTCCCTGGAGTGGATGCGATAACCCTTAGATTCTGAACCGGTCTCGCAATCTCAGAAGGACTATAGATGAAACTTATGAATGTTGCCACATCTTACTTATATGGGACACTTGAGAATAACATCTATATGAAAATCTATAACGGATTCAAAATGCAAGAAGCATTAAAATAAGTACCTCGAGACATGTGCGCTATACAACTCAAAAGATCCTTATATTCTCTCAAGCAATCTGGTCGTATGTGGTACAATCGAATTAGTGAATATCTTGAAAAGCATGGATTTAAATCTAATGTAATTAGCCCATGTGTTTTTATAAAAAGATCACTCTCCAAATTCACTATTGTAGTAGTTTATGTTGAGGGTATAAACATCATCGGATCTCTTGAAGTGATAAAAAAACTGCTAAAATCTTGAAAAGGGAATGTGAGATGAAAGACCTTGGCACAACAAAATTATGTATAGTCTTACAATTTGAACATTTTTGCAATGGAACATTCTTCCATCTGTCAAACTACATCCAGAAGATGTTAGTACACTTTAATATGGGCAAAGCATATCCATTGAGCATACCCATGGTTGTCTGATCCTTGGATATACATAAAGATCCTTATCGCCCCCAAGAAGAGGGTAAAGAAGTACTTGGTCCAAAAGTACAATATTTAAGCACTTTTAGTGCAGTCATATATCTTGTAAACAATACAAGGTCTGATATTGCATTCTTAGAACATCTTTTAACAAGATCCAGTTCAAACATTGCATGTAGACATTGGAATGGGATAAATAAAATATTTCAATATATTTGTGGGACACGAGATTCGGGTCTCTTCTATCAAAAAGATAAAAAGTCCTAGCTTGTAGGGTATGCTGATGCTGGATATCTATCAGATCCACACAATGGACGTTCTCAAACATGTTATGAGTTCAAATACGGTGCTACACTAATTTTCTAGAAGTCAACAAAGCAAACTCCAAGAACAACGTCATAAAATAAAGCTGAATTGGTAGCACTTTATGAAGTTGGTCGAGAGTGCATATGGTTGAGATCAATGATTGGTCTTATACAAGGAGCATGCAGTTTAGAAGAAATCAAGAAGAATCCTACAATTATATATGAAGACAACTCAACATGCATAACTCAGATCGGGGAAGGCTACATCAAGGGAGACAGTATGGAGCACATCTCGCCAGAGTTTTTCTCAACATATGACTTGCAGTACGAGAGAGAGATTGATGTTCTTCAAGTTAAATCAAGAAATTTGACAGACTTGTTTAACAAATCTTTTCCAAGACATAGTTATGAGCAACTCATAAACAAGATTGGACTCTGCAAGCTAAAGGGCATAAATTAGTTTGAGGGGAGCATTATACACGCTGTAATATTTTTCCCTAGACTTTGTCCCACTGGGTTTTCTTAGTAAGGTCTTTAATAATGCAGCATAATTGATTCTGCAATATTAGTTAATATAGGTCCTGAAGAATCTAGCCAACATTATCCAATAGCATAATGTTGTTAGTGCATAATGAACAATGATATATCTAGTATGATTGTTAAATATGACAAATATATTGTTCTTATTATTTAAAAGATCTTATTTCCTTATTTACCTAAACTTTATCTTCTCACATGTATGTATAAATACCTTAACCTATGATGAATAAAAGACTGAGTTTACAACAAATCATACATTTTTACTAAGCATTTTTCACTTTTAATTTTTTTTTAAATTTTTAAATTCTATGATATCGAATACGGAGTATAGTGACGTAGGTTGGGGGCGTAGTTTGGGTTGAGACTTGG